CCCCCCCGGGTAAAGTTGGCAAAGGGATTTAGGATCTGGGGCCTGCAAGGGCCCGACAAGACGGAAGTTGCCGGTCACAACTCCTTGAAGAGCAGTGGCTGTCACGGGGCTCACTTCCTCCTCCTCCCCTGTCCCCGGCCTGCAAGGAAGCAGCTGCTTGTTAGTCTAACTAGGTCTCAGGGCTGGGGGGGAACCCACTGGTACTTGTGACAGCCTTAATGATCTGTGGACAGGCCCCCCCCAGCCTCAAGGAAGGGGGGGCCAATCCAGGGGGCAGCCGTGTGCCTCAGTTTCCCTCCCCTGCCAAATGAGGAAGTGAAGGTGGTTTCTCTGAGTACAGAACAGGTGTTTCCCTCCCAGCCCCCTCCATGAGGGGTGATGGGTGGGAACCCACTGCAGATAAGGCCCTTTTTGAGGGTTAACCTTGCACATGCCAGCCCCAGGAGCTGGGAGCCTCCATGTGGGTGGTTTGCAGCCCAGAAACTTTGGGATGCTGGGAGAACCCTCCCTCCCCAGGGGTCCCTTCGAGCTCCACTTCTCTGTGAGACCCTGCACCCATGACCCTATAGGTTCCTCTGTCCCTATAGGACACCGCAGGACTCTGAGGGACTGCTGCTGTCTCTATGTGATTACAGGACTCCGGCTGTGTATGGCCCTATACCTCTCTGTTCCTATAGGACACTGACTCTCATACCACTCTGACTGTATGAGTGACCCCGTCTCTATGGGCCTCTGACTCTCGGTGTCTCTGTGTGGCCCTATAGGGTTCTTTCTTTATGTCTCTGTATGGTTCTCACTGTACAATTGATCATCTTTGCCTCTATGGGGCTCTAAGTGTCTCTTTATGACATCAAACTTCTCTTTCTTTGTCTCGATGTCACTCTGTGTATCTCTATGTGACTATATGACCCTGATTCTGTAAGGTTGATTCTTTGTCTGTATAAGATTTTGATTGTGCAGTTGATTCTCTCTTTCTGTGCGTCTCTGGGTCTCTATGACCCTATATGTCGCTCTAGGACTCTCTCTCTTATGTCACCTTATATGTCTGTATGTGAGTATATAACTCTATAGGACTGATTCTTTATGCCTCTATATAACCCTGACTGTATGATTGACTGTATTTTTCTATCTCTATGGGCCCCTGACTCCCTGTCTCTCTGCGACCCTATATGTCTCTCACCGACCTTGTCCGACTCTATATGTCTCTCTGTCTTTCTATGATCTTATCTTTCTCGTATGAGCATATGTGAATCTATATGTCTTTTGCTGACCATATGCAACCTTATATGTCTCTTTCTGTCTCTCTATGACCCCATCATTTTCTCTTATGAGCCTATGTTTTTATGGGACCTTGTATGTTCTTGTGTCTTTCTATGATCCTATATTTTTATGAGCCTGCAACCCTATATGTCTGTGTAACTATATGGCTCTGACCATATAGGGCTGATTCCTTATGTCTCTATACAACCCTGATGGTATCTCCCTGTGGTACTGTGTGACTCTGGCCCCTGCTACCCCTTGAAGCCCACCGGCGCTCCACACCCATGGCACCTGCCCCCTTCTAATCTTCGCCTGGCTGGGGAAGGGGGGTCTTAACAAAGGGGCTTCTAACGAGCTCAGTGGCCTCCCAGGCATGGATCCAGGCCTTGTATCGGCTTCCCTCATCCAGGATTTCCTATTGCTGCTTCTGGGCATGGAGGGGGAGGGCAGCAGGGGGCTTCCCTGGGCCTGATTTGGGGGGACGGGAGCCTCTGGGGTTGGGATCAGGGTGCCCCAGGTTGGAGGATCTCTCTCCACCCTCTGCCTAGCCCCATTCCCCTGTTCCCCCCCCCCCTTCAGGACCCCCAGATTGTGGGGTCCTGAGCAGAGGGGCCAGGCTCCCTAACCAGGCAGTCCCGGCTTCGAGTGGTAGTAGTGGGGGGTGTCCATTCTTCCATCCAGTGGCATTTTGCCCCTGGGAGTCGTAAGAGGGCTGGGTGGGAGAACATCTGCCCTCCCCTGGTGCCAGACCCGCCCTGAACCCACAACATCCTGCCTCTGCCGGAAGTCCTGGCCGCGTGACTCCCTGCCC